AAGTAGGCAGTCTTTCCTTGTGGAACTTCAAATAATATGTTTGAAGGTGATCCAAGCTGTAGTATTTTCATTAATTGTGGATGAAGTAATTTGTTATGAACAGAGTATTTCAGAAATTCAATGAGAAAACAGAAGTCGTATTCAAATTGAGTTGACCCTTTCGTGTTTTACATCCTGTTACTTCTGTTAAGAGAGGAGTGAGACTGTTTTGAAAGACATTTGCAATTCACAAAGTTAGTACTTCCAGCATGTGTTTGTCTGAATGTTATGTGTCATAGCTAAATGCACAGTAGGTCTTTGGAGGTGGGAACCGATCATGTGGCTCTGAGATTTCAAGCAAATGCTATCTGGAATGGAAGGTCATGATAACTTGTGGTTTTGATTTTTAGTTGTTGAGGGAGCAGTCAGGGCAAGTGCTTGTTTGCAATATTTTCTGTAAGATGTTTTACATGAAAGTTGATAGGTAACTATCTGATATGAAATGCTGAGAACTAACAAATGGTAACCAAATATTTTGTGTGCTGAGGAAAGGTCTAGAAAAAAACAGCAAAAAGAAAAATTTGCTTTCTCCTGTTCTTCTCAACCTTGTGTATTTTTCCTGTGTGAGCAAGGTTTATTATCTGGAAACAAATAACATAATTTAATGTCCTCAGAGGAAGATGAACCTTTCTTCTGTACTAGTGACTCCCTGCATTTCTGAACTAATATTTATGAAAGAGATTCTTTCCCAATACTTGCTGAGATCCTTCAAGGCCCACTGGTCCAAGAAATCATTAAATTAACTAGGGCCCAATTTCAGTTACTCAGGGCATAAGAGTGGGTTTCTGTGACACAAAGATGTTGAAAGAAAATAAGAGAAGTTTGGTAACCTTGTTCCAGTCAAGATGCTGGAGGACTTTTGTAATGCACTGTGCAATTCCTCATGCTTAGATTTTTGTGTCTTTTGGTGGGAGATGATTCACATAAAGTCCATTTGTGAGAACATGTTCCAGATATGTAACTTGAGTGTTACTGGGTTTGACTGCAGAGCACAAAATGCCAAGCAGAGAATCGAGGGAAAGGGGTAGAGCTGCTTTGAAAGTGAGAAGGTGCAGAACAAAGCATTAATAGGGAGGTCTATAAGTGGGAACAGAGGCAAGAATACAGCACATGAATACAGAGAAATGAAGGTGTACCTGTTGGGCAAGAGGGTTAGAAGTAAAGGAAAATCAGGAAGGCTGAGAAGGAAGACTTGCATAGAGCTTAGGAACCGGAGGACAAGGAGAGTTGGAGGAAAAGTCCATGAGAGTGCCTTCTGTGATGATAAAGATCTTTCAGGTTGAAGATACAGAGATTAATGTACAGGCTGTAAAATAATGACGCATGTTTTTGGAGCAAGGAGTGCTGAGCAAATCTGGTAGCAGTTTCAGAGCAGAGAGGAGTGATGTGCTGAGGAAAGTAAAGGAGGGTGATCATTTTAGGGCTTCACTATCTGTGTTTCTTCTACTTCAGTGCTCTATGAGTGTTTTGATTTTTCAAGGAGATGTGGTTTGGGGAAATTGGAGGAAAACAAGGTTTTGGAAAAAGAATTGAAAGAAAAAACACTTAAATTAGAACACCAGGACAAAACCAAGTAAATTGTTTAATTTTCAACTGATAGTATTACTACAGTCTTCTTAAGAAGTTTTGCTGATTTATGGTTTCTAAAATGATAACAAACTTAAAAATGCTAGTTAGAAAAGAATTTGTAAATATTGTTTTCCTCTGTAGGTATACTGATGTTTCAGACTCTTGCCATTTTATCCTCTTGCTATTGCATAATGCAGCCAATTCATGTTTTCCAGTTTTCCCAATTAAGTTAAGTGTTCAGAAGTTTCCATGACCTTTAGGTTTCTTTGTACTCTCTGTTGTTTTGCAGGGAGTATGATAGACTTTGTGGTTTACTTCCAGTGTAGCCTTTCTTTTATGGAAAAGATGTCACAATGCAAAAAGGCAATGGTTTTGAGTTGTGTTTTTGAGCATTTAGTACAATGCTGATTTGACATAACATTTTTTCTACAAATGTCTTAACATACAGTAAGCTGTTTATGTAGCTCATAAAAAAAAAAATGTTCAGCAGCAAAACATAATTTAAAAATATCGTTAGGCTGAATATATGGAAAAACAAACGAAGAAGATCCCCTTAGGGAAATTTGTTGCAGGATAGAGGATATCTCATATTCACTAATGTAATTGGTGTTCCCTGTGCTTATGGATTTTGCTTCAGTTTTGCCTGTTACAGTATGTATGACTTGCTGGAAAGCCTTCTGTAAAGGTTAGGTTGTCCCCTTCCATCAGATCTGTGGGAGTTCCCAAACGCAAACCTCTGTTCTTCATTGAAACATTGGAGGTTTCTCCAAAACCTTTTGGTCTGATGGAGATTAGAGGGTGATGGACATCAACCTGCTGAATGAATGAATCCCGGCTTCACTGTGAACTTACAAGGTGGAGGCTGAAATTGGAAAAGGTGGCCTAAGGAAGGGTGCATGGGCTGCCTTAGTAGGCATGGCACTATGTTCATAGGCTGTTTACTGTCCATGCTTAAATACTTCACATCTGTCTTCCTGGAGCATAAACAGAGAAGCCTCAGCTCTGTCTGCCCCTGCTGGTGCATTTCGAAATCTGAGCTTATTTGCCAGAGCTATTTTACTCTTTCTTTTGAGCACACATTGCCCACTAGCAGCTATGCAAGTCAGACCACTGATTAATACACTTATATAGTTATATACACATATAGCCAGTCCCTCCAGTCCCCCTGCCTCAAATAAAGGACCCTTACCCTGGGAGTTTCTTAATATTTAATACTTATGTTTATACATGACAACTCTGATCTGGTGTTTTGGTCCATGTTTCTTTCAGTATGTCTATCAAGGCCTTGAAGAAAGGGGCTTTAGCTTTAAGGAAGAGGTATTGTCACAGTGAGGCTATCTCTTCCTTTGCACATGGAGACCATGGCACAAGGAGGGACTGAAACCAAGCATCAAATTGGTGTTTTCTGCATTAGGGCATCTCTCCTCTGAATAAAGATGCCACAAAGCATAATCATTTTCAAGAGATATTACTGCTACTGGAACTCTTGTCTGTTAAACGTATTCCTAGCCTTCTGTTTGACTTAGAATGCCAGTCGCTTGTTATTTAGACCTGTCTCTCCCCCACTCCCTGAGTATCAGACGGGTGTGTTATGGGTGTGGAGCTGAATTTATAAACTTTGTATGAGGCTGAAAAGAGTTAAGAAACACAAAATTTTGGCACTGTTACTGGAAAGCTGTTTTTAAATTGTTTGTTTTCATACTTGGTGAATTTGACTAGGCCAAGAGTTCACTCTTTTTCTGATTTTGAAACTATACCTTTCTTTGCTTTTCTGTACATCATTCCTAATCAGTTTTTTACCTATAATTATCTTTCTGACAGTAATAGTATGTTCATTCATCTGAAAAAGTTGTTTTCATGCAGCCTGGTTTGGAGGAGAAATTATTTGGCTTGTTCTATTTTTGTTTTGACTTCTGTATAGACTAAATTGACCTTAGTCCTCTTTCCCAACCTGTTAAAACAGGGTTAGGTCTTGATACCTTTGAGGGATGTTTAAAATAGCTAAAGGTCTAAATGCTATTTTTATTACTCCTGTGCTGCCTTTCCCTGTCATAGAAGAGGCCAGTGTTTGATCCATATTAGTGATGTTAATCTCTGTCAAGAAAGATCAGAAACATTCTCAATGTTTTCTGTTATTTAACATAAGTATGTTGTTTTCATTTTACCTGCTTCCTGGGTTAAGTGACTGATAGTTAATTATAAAGTATCTTTTCCTGGGAGAAAATGGCAGTGAGACAGAAGGGAGGATTATTCATTTTTACTAAAGTCGTAAGTGTGTGAATGGATGGAAAAAGGATGAATACATACAAACATGCTTAAAGCTTTGCAAGCTTTCTTCTGCTTTAGCAGGATATCAAGTAAGGGCATCCTAAAAATGGTGTTTTGGATCTGTTCAATTTTCATTGGCTCATGTCCTTTAAAGATACCTCAATATTCCGGATGTACTCAATAGCCAGAGTCAAACCAAATTTCATATCCAAACTGATTCTGATGAATGCTACAGCTCTTGGAATACCCAAGATTATTTTCATTCTTGTACTTGAAAAGCTCTAACTTCACAAGAAGAATAACTATGCTAGTAGTTCTGTACTGTAGGTCATGTTTAACAGGATTAGTGATTATGTATGTGCTTCCACAGGTAACTCTGGGATTCAGTTCTATTAATGCATTTAGATATCAGTAGGTTGTAAACATACAGAAAGGTTGGGCTTTTGGAAGAAAATTATATCGTTATCCAAATGGAGTCAGATGCTAATTGTATTAAAATCTTTTGTCTGAAAATTGCTGAGCTATAATTGTACTATAACTAAGAAATATTCTAAACTAGAAGTGTGTGTTTATTTCCAAACTAGCTATACTGACTTTTCTCTTTAGTAGAGATTAATATTTTATAAATTCTAATTTCTCTCTTTTGTAGTGCTAATTCACAGTAGAGCTGGAGGAGGCATTTTGTTTTGTTGGTGAAACCTGCTTTTGTTGACCAATTAAATTAAAAAGCACCTTTATGCATTTTGGTGATATTTTTGCCTGATCTTTAGCCCAGATCTTTGGAGAGTATAAATTTTTGGGAGTAGTGACCATTTTTCTTAACTGTATTCCATGATGTACAACCTAGTGACATCTCAGCAAGTAAATGAGGTAGCTAACTATTCACTCTTCTTTTGCAAGAAAGTAGTACAATGGAAATACTGTGTGTGTTCTTGTTTTCTAAACCACAAAACAACAAAACCCAACCAATTAAAGAATCTAATTCTTTAAAGTGTTGAATATAAAGTTAGTTTGCAAATAGTTTGCTTATGTTGATGTCTAAATTCAGCCTTTTTATAAGATTTAAAATAGGAGTTGACAGGTTGATTAATTGTTAACATAGATGTGTTTCTTTTTGTCTTTAGACAATTCTGCTGAAGCAGATTTATGGTTGCTGAATAGCTGTACAGTAAAAAATCCTGCTGAGGACCACTTCAGAAACTCAATAAAGTAAGTTTTTTTTCCATGAGAAGATACGTAATTGTCAATACATATTTCATATTTTAATGTTAAAATCTTCATCTTTTCAATCTAGAAGTAATTGCGTGTTTTAGAGCAAGAAATGTGTGGAGTTTGAGTGTTCAGTGGTGAATTCCCTAGAATGCATTTGTAAGGTGCAGTTTGTTTTTCAGTTGGCTAGAGCTTGCAAGTGGTTATCAATACATTTGCTTAGGAAAATTGCTGAGCTATTTAGATAGGGACTTGTATATCACTTTTCAAGACAACTTTGTAATATTCTTCTGAAGAACTGAATATTTGTTCTTTCAAAAATGTGAATTGTTAGGCTGTTTCTTTTTTCCTCTACTTAAATAATCAGGCCCTTCCAATTAAAAGGGTATCAGATGCATACTTAAAATAAGCTGCTTCATGACACGTTTTCTTAAAAGGTGAACTGACTATCCTGTAATAGAAATCTTGTGAAGAATGTGTTTTTTCTCTGTAACATTTTGATGATTTTGAAAAATATGATGTAGTAATGACATCTGTCTCTGACTTCTGCAGAAATATAGTTGTGATGAGTGTAACTGGAAAACCTGTACACTTAGAGCTGTCATTGCCCAATGGAAATATTTTTGTATGTTTCTTGTAGATTCTACCTTTAGTAAATAAGTGTGGCTATTGATGCAGTCATTTGCTTAGTGTGGTACATGGCACATAGACTTTTTATTGAAATCCATTTTGGTTAGAAAAACATGCAGTCAGCATGTTCAGGAAGGTAGAGAGGAAAGAGAATCTGGACATGCTGGAATTGCTAACAGTGTCCCAGGGATGCAGTCTGGACCAGAAACTGCCTGTAGTAGATGGCACAGGAGAAGCTTCCCCCACCCTTCAGAGGACTTTTCTTCTTGCTGGTATTGTACTTGGTAATGAGACTGGCTTTTTGGCTTATTTTTACTGTTGTGTTTGGTTCTTTTTTTTTTTTTTAAAAAAAAGCAGTTCCCAGAATACTTCCAGTTAGAGTGTGTTGGCCAACAGAACTGATGACAAGATCTCTTCCAGTTTAGTTGTGGCCATCTTTCTGTTTTACTAATCCTGTGCCAGAATTGATGTGGTATGGTGTGTGTCCTTGAAGCAGTAGAATAGAGTTGGTTAAGAAAGAGGGACTGACTAAAAGCAAATGACCAAAAATATTTCTTTGAACTTGCTGTTCCTGTTGCTGCTCTATTAATGAGCCTGATATTATTTGTAGCCTGGATTTATTCCTCTTTTTCCTTATCTCTCCCTATACTCTTTCTGTTTTGACACACGGATACTTCTGATTACTCTCTGTTTCTTCTCTTTGCTGAGAGTCACTCCTTTCCTGTAATGTGTTTGTTGTACTTCTCTCAGATCTAGCAGTTCCTAATCATGGAGAAGGACTATTTTTTTGTTGTTGTTGTTTCTGACCACTCTTTATAATGGTCATTAAACATGGGGGAGAGAATAATTTGATTGTGCTCTTTCATGGGACTTTGAGTATGTTAATCTTGCAGTTCCATCTCAGAAAAGAGCAACTGTATTTGGGTTTTACAATTGTAAGGAAAGCTTGAATCTCTAAAGAACACAGTTCCTCCCAAATACACCTTAATTTGTTACAGCACGAAACCCAATGCATGAAGTTTGGGTGATACAAAACTAACTGCCGTTACATCATAACAGCTTCTTGGTAGCTATAGAGATCTTTGTTTTTCTTCCTTGAGTAACAAATTAAACATTTAGTAGAAGGATTGTCAAAGCAAACATACTTTGAGTGGAAAAATTAATACTCACCACAGTAAGATTCTTATTTCAAATTAGATTTTTTTCAGGCTGAAAGTGTTAACTGGCATTAAGAGTGTCACGTGGGAGGAGTATTTCAGTTTTGTTTATTCTCTACCCTCAGCAACAGCGTCTGCTCCGTAAGTTTCCTTGCATATATGACTTCAAAATGCACTGACTCAAACCAGCATTAGTGTGTACACTGTGGTGGTCAAAGAATGACTGTCTGAGAAAGTGATCCCTCACTAATACCGTGTGCTGAAGGATGTCAGAACCCGAGTCCTGTAGGTTCAACATTTTTCAATCTGTGTTCTTTTAAAAACAAACCAAAACCTTTCCCAGACTCTCCAAACCTTTGCCTTGGATTTGCAGATGTATATATAGCTGCTACAAGCCAACTGATGGGATAATCTCTGTGCCTGTTTTTATAGCTCTTAGAAGTAGTGTGCTGCTCTTCAATATCAATAAAGTTGAAGCAGCTGAGCCAGGGTGGTGACATGGATAGCAAAGAGTTGCTTTGAAGACCTTTAGCTTATGGATGGGAATGTAGAGCTTTTCCTGTGCAGATTTCATTATCAGTAGGTTAATTTTAACATTAAAGGCAGAGGTAGGCAATAATAATAATAATGAATTCCAAATATATCTAAGTAGGTGGAGTTTAAAAAAAATAATAATTAGGATTCTTAAAAAAAATGAAGGTAATTCAGGGAAAGGTAGGAAATTAATAGAATAAAATAAAGCAGATAACTTTCATCAAGCAATTTGTATTTATGGAGACCAAGATGACTGTGTAAGGCAAATTGCAAGGCAAAGAAAAAGAACCCCTTGAAAAAAAGTAAAAAGAAGGAAGAAACTGACATTAAGAAGTAAGGCAAAGAAGATTACAAAGAAACAATCCCCACTTGGTATAGGAGGACTCAGTTCTGTTGCAGTAACTGTGTTCTTCTGTTCTAATGCTTTGCTAAATATCATAGAAAATGTATTATTTCCAGCCCTGGCTCCCCATGATTCACAAGTGCATATTAGCCTGTGGCTGCAAACACTTGCAATGAAAGATTTGCTAGAAGCTGGTTTTGGCAGAATCCCACCTTAGGATAGGAGGGACAGGAGATGGTCTGTTGTTTAAATGACTCACATTTGCAGCTGTTGTGAAATCCACAATCCCCCATCCACATCTGGGATGGGGCAAGCGTGCAGTACAGGGGGAAGAGTGAGAAAGAGAAGGGCATGTGATATTACATGTGCAATTGATAAGAAATCACTTCTCACATGGTATATGTAAAGATGAATTAATTATGTCCCTTTCTATACCCCTACAGTGTAACAGTTTAGTATAGATTGTACTACATACACAGAATCACAGAATGGCTGAGGTTATCAGGGACCTCTGGAGCTTGTCTTGATCAACACTGTTCAAAGCAGGGATGACTACAGCAGATGGCTGAGGGCTGTGTGCAGGCAGGTTTCGAGTATCTTCAGGAGACTCCACAAATGTCCTGGGCAGCATGTTGCATCTTTCTAATAAAAAGAAGTTGTCTTAGGTTTAAACTTTCTGTCTTGTATCTCAGTTTGGTTTTTGCCTTTTGTCCTGTTACTGGACAGGAAATGAAATGCCAGGCTCTATCATCCCCTCTCTTTCCCATCCCCTTCCTCATCAGGTGTTTATACACAGTGGTGGGATTCCCCAGATCCTTCTCTCCTCCAGACTGAATAGTTCCAGCTCTGATGTTTTTTGAGTATGATATCTTTGCTCTGCACCTGATCTTCTATCAGTGTAACCACCTCATGAGAGTTAAGTGGTTATGGATGCATTAGATCATGCAAAACAGTTCAAGGCTTTCACAACCAAGTTGAAGAGTAAAAGTTATGAGTGCCTACGGATGCTACAGATTTTTTGTTCTTCATATGCAATTGTGTTAAGTAAGGAAGGAGGTTATTCTTTAAGAAGTACAATAACTTGTTCAGAGATAAGAACTTTCTTCTGCCTGTCATCTTTGCAAGTGAAAATAACGCTGGAAGACAGTTGTTTTTTTGTTAACATTTGTAATTATTATATAAATGATGCATTTTGCAAATCAAGCAAAGAAAACAAATCTCACTTTTCAAGTGAAGTGTTACCACTTTCTTTAAAGTTGCTTTAAGCCTTTTGCTTTTACTATTACATTTCCAATTTAGAAGTAGATTGTGATTTACACTTGTTTATACTGGCAAGTTTAAGCTGTGAAGTACCTCTGGAAGAGGAAATAGAAGTATTTCATAGCTATTTATTTTACAGATCTGTTAGTGTAAGAAGATAACTTCCACTGCATGAGTGTCATAGCCTTGCTATTTATTATGTTTCCTAGAAATTCTATGTTGATGTGACATTCAGTGTCAGGGTAAAGGTAATGGGACAGAAGAACTGTAGCTAAGAGAACTGTTTTTCACTGCCCTTGGATTGAGGAAGTCTCGGGAAGAGCTGGATTCTCTGACGTAAAACTATCTGTGGAACATGCTTCGCTGGGTGGGAGGAAACTTGTCACTATTTTTGGGGGGTGGGGGTGTTTCTTTTGTTTTTGATTTGTTTGTTTTTGTTGTGTATTTTTTTCCTAAGTCAAGTTGCTGGTAAAATCCTTTTTTGCTTAGACCTCCTAAATTAGTCCAGATAACATTGATGAAAAATTATCTTTTTGCCTCAATGAAAGGCTGACATGCTCTTACAGAGAGAGGAAATGACTGCATTCGAGATACATGCTACATTTGCTGTGCAAGAGAAACATCTTCCCCAGAAAACAGGAGTTACTTAGGTGTGAACAGAGGCTATAAAACTGTTAACTAGCATTTAAATTCACAGTTCTTTTCTAAGAACAAGAGAAGCTTAAGTGACTGCTGCTCCCTGGCTTCATCAAAGCCTTGATTGAGCTAGATTTATGTGCTATGCTTCCGTTTTACAGTCATGGGAGATGTGTTAATATCTCAGCAATCACCATTTACCAAAATTAGCGTTAAAATAATTTTTTAGCTTAATTTAAATAACTTATTTTAAAAAGCACTGTAATATTTGATATAAAGTGTATTAACTAGTTGAAAACACTGAATACTTGTATGGATGATTATTTTTTAGAGGTTCATCATTTTTCTAGCAAATATTTCTAAAAGGAAGAGTTTTCTACTTCATCATTTGAGATTTCTGTTTTTGTATAGTGTTACAAAACACTTGGGTGCATTTTATT